AACTAGGGTGTGTTTTATTCACTGCAACATCATCACTGATGATATAAATATGTCCATCCAGATCTCTTCTGGCCCGACTCAAAAGACCCAAAGCACAAGTGTCGTCAGGTTCTGGGACTGTTGGTATGTTAGTGTTGGATGTGAAAACTTGGTGAGACGATACTCCTCCTCACCGTCTGGACTTGTGTTGGACATGTGTTGCTGCATTTTGTTCTTGTATGTCTGGTTCTACGTTGGGCTCATCTTTGGAGGCTGATTTAATTAGAAACATATGACATATGTTTCCATGGGGAGGAGGGAGTAGATTCGGTGAGCGCTTGTATATTGCATGTTCACTGAAGTTAACTGGAGCAAGGGGGGGTCGGGGGGGTGATGGATGTGTACACGCTTCACAGCGTGACTGCAGCCTTGCGATATGTAACGGTCTGCGAACACTCACACACTGCACTACACCGCAGGGTTAACACTGTTTGTAATATATACACTAAATAAGTGGAATAAGATCGCCTTTGAATGACTCAGCATCTTTGACGGCTGAGAATATGTTTGACAGTGACAAACCTCAAACCTCAGTCTGTGTCGTCTTCTGTCTGTCACTTGTTAATCCCTCGGGAATTCCCATCGGGGAAATTTATTGGTAGTGTCTGGTAGTTTATAGTAATGTCCAGTAGTTCATTGTTTCCCAAAGACTGGGTTGCGACCCTCAGGTGGGTTTTTTTTTTTTTTTTGGGTCGTCTGGCATCATGTTTCTCAGGAGTTCACGGTCATTGCAACAATTAATTATTAAGTAATTGTTGAGATATCACTCGGTCAACAATAAAGTATCCTCATTAATTTTAAATGATGATCAAGTACACCTTTATTTTGCGATTTACGAACAATGACAAAGGCTTGTGACATTTAAAATATGGGTCCCCACAAAAAACGTTTGGGAAACATTGCGGTATTGTATCTGTGTGTGCTGTGTGACCATGTCTGCTGATGAACCACCTCACACTTCCTCTTCTTCTGTCTGCTCTTCCAGCCAATGCAGGGCTCATGGTGGAAATCTGGAGGCTGTAGGAGCAGCATTTATGTGAGCATTTACGTGAGTTAGGTCTCCGGCGACTACCCCATGACCAGCCCATTATGCCGTCGTCAACACGGAAAGGAGTGCCGAAGGACCCCGAGCTTGCCCACCTTTTCTTCAAGGATGACCCCGAAGACATCTTCTGCGATCTGCACGAGATCGGACATGGCAGCTTTGGTGCCGTCTACTTTGTAAGTGTTGATCAATGAGTACTTGAACACACCATTTTAGGTTAGAGTTTTAGACTGAAGTTTGAAGTTTTTGTAAGATTAATCATCAGTGTTTTACAGATAATATTTAGCCAAATAAAGAGCTTTATAGCCTGGGTAGAAAAACATCAGGTAAACAAGAAGAAAAACTGCATCTTTATAAGACTCCGCTCAATGCACTCAACACTGTTTACTGCATCATGACGACAAAGGATGTGAGTGAAGCGCTCCTTTATTTATGAACCAGCCACTCTACATATTCATTTTTGATTAACTGGATTACACATGCGAAAGTGTAGCTGCAGACATTATGGCAGTTTCAGGACAAACAAGCAGACATGCATCTCATACTTATCCAATCTCCTCATCACTCAACATTCACTCAGGCCTTTTAATGTAAACGTTTTTATTATCAATCAAATAATAATCAATTGCAGAAACATGTATCAGTCTGTTATGGAGTAGTTACATCTATACCAGTGGTCCCCGACCTTTTTTGTTCCAAGGACTGGTCAGCCAGTACCACCTGTTACTACAGACCATTACCAAGGTACTGAGCATCGAAGGATCACTAAATTAAATCTTTTAGACTCTGTTCTTTTTGTATGTGAATCTGAATGGCCTATTACTTTGAAATTAGACTGCGACCCGGCACCAAATGACCTATGAACTGGTACTGGTCCGCCGACCGGGGGTTGGGGACCCCTGATCTATACAGTCTTCCATTTACAACCGGCCCTTCAAGGGGAACTGTATTGCTGATGTGGCCCCCAGTGAAAAGTTTGACACCCCTGGTGTAATGCCATTTTTTTTAATTTAAGAAATTCCTGATGGCAGCTTGATTAGAACACATTTTTTTTGCAGTATCACCTTAATACAACAATTAAAAGTAACTGCAAATAAGTTTCTCTGAAGCCTCTAACTAATGTCACTAAGATTGATTTCTGCTAAAGACACACATGGAAGAACAGGAAACCTGCGACGTTACTGCCGTCATATTACTTTGATCAATTACACCAACATTAAAAAAAAAAAAAAAAAAGAAAAGAAGTAATTGCGTTTCTTAAATGCCGATGTTTATGGATTCTGGTTTAATGCAGAAGTGAAGGCTCATGAACCAATAACGGCAGCACATGAATATTCTCCAGGATATTCCCAGACGTGTACATGTGATTAAATAAAAGCATGCAGTGGTCTGTGTGTGTGTGTGTGTGTGTGTGTGTGTGTGTGTGAAATCATAGTTAATACATAGAAGAACTAAGTAGGAGTTCCGTTAGGGTGGGAAAAGGGGGAAATTCCCAGTGTTCCCCACCGACGAGGGCTTTGAACATACATTACAGCAGAGTGTGTCAAACGAATATGCCCCCTGCTGTTACGCAAAGACAATTAGCCCTTGATTTATTTTAGCGTTCCTACGTTACATGTTTTCTTCTTTATTGCCAACAAACTGTATATTTCATCAAAAGGGAGCAGAATTTCATGCATGAACTGACAGGCAATCACTGAGATCAGATGAATCTGAGCGGAGTCCACTGGGGATACACTCTCCGCTCCCTGTTAATCTCATTCTATTTATATCAGGAGATGAAATTTCCCACATATTCCTAACGAGTTGAACCTTGAGAGAGTGGGCGCCACTTGAGCTGCAGTGGAGCTGTGCCTAAGGTCAAATGTCTTGGAGGTCAATGGGGACCCGATAACCAATAATCATTTTAGCTAAGCTAACAGCTAATACCTGCGGGCTACAGTGGTGACATAGTCAAACGAATTATCACCAGAACTTCTTAAAATATATGTACAGTAAACCCTTGTTTTTCGCGGGGGTTACGTTCCAAAAAGAACCCGTGATAGGCAAAATCCGTGAAGTAGAAATCTTTATTTTTTTTACAATTAAATATTCAGAAAAAGAAGAGAAAGAACGAACAAACCATTTTACAGTCTCAACCATTTGTTTCACAAATAAAGTAAAATAAAAGTACTTTAGAAACGTTTCAACAAATAACTTCTGTAATGTACTGTCAAATAATAATTTTAATCATCAACGTGAACAGAAGGCTTCAAATTGCGGAGATTAGCACCGCCCACCGTGAACGGGAGAAAATTAAAAATGATTATGAAAAAAATACAAATTACCTGGTCTTGTTCCGGGCAGTTGCAACCCTTTTTGAATCCTTATTAAAACTTATTGCTGCCGTCTTCCTTATGTTTTTTTCTTCCTTCTGTATGGAACGAACGGAAGATTCATTAATTCCATAATGCCGACCTACAGCCGCATAGCTTTTACCTTCATTTAGCATGTCCAATAGTTCTACTTTATCACCGATAGACAGCATCTTCCGCTGCCTTTTGGTCCCTACCGCAGGTACTTTTGCCGGTCCAGAGCGTTTTGTCGACATTATGGGGTTTGATAAACTCGAAATTGCAAGAGAATTTGCACGTACGTAATGTCAATTTGGCAAGCTGTTTTACGTACGTGTACATATTAAACCGCAACGTTATTGGCGCACAGGTAGAGAAGAAGCGGAGTGACTTTTTAGCCAATCAGAATGCAGAACACAATGCACGATGCAAATCCGTGAAGTAGCGAAACCGTGAAAAGTAAACCGCGTTATAGCAAGGGATCACTGTATAGCCAACTACTGAATACGCTAATGCATTGTTTCCCAAAGACTGGGTTGCGACTCTCAGGTGGGTCGCAAGAGTTTTTTTTTTCTAATCACCTAAATGTGTGTTATATGGACTTTTATATGGACTTATTTATATGGTATTACTGCTAATTCTGAGGTGCAATACAGAGTTTGAGTCTGGGTTTAAAACACACAACTTGTAACCTCGTTAGGGCAAGACCTTGCTGATTTTTTTTAACAGTTTTTACTTAGTTGTTTAGCTGTTGCCTAATAAAAACTCTTTTGATTCAATCTTTAAGGCACGAAACTCTTTCTCCAACGAGGTGGTGGCCATCAAAAAGATGTCCTATAATGGCAAGCAGACTACCGAAGTAAGAAATTCTCTCTCTCACACACACACACAAAGAGAGCCCACAAGCAAAACTCTGTCAACCGCATCCCTACATCTTGCATGATTAATTTCATTTTCGATTTCTGATGCTGAAAACACATCTCTGAAAACCTGTCCTCCACCACTCACTTCCTCACACTTCACTCCAAACTTAGCAGTCACGTATGAGACATCTTCTCAGACTCATCTGCGTCTGTGCTCAGCTACATCCTGAGACCAAAAATAACGTGAAAATTGTCGAATGCCTCGCTGAAACAAACCACAGAGAATGTTCTGGCATGGAGCACCAGTGTATTTCAGAAGCCGTCCTCTGTGATCACTACTGAACCGGAGCCCACATTTGTTTGTAATTGACGGTCTGCGCGGTGACTCTTGTGTAATGTTGTTAAACTGTCACTGCCATTGTGTTTTTTTTATGTGTAGTATTTATGTCGTTGTAGTGCCAATAAAACACACGCCCACCATGTGTTTCTCTGCTGTCTTTCTTCCCGTGTTGCAGAAGTGGCAGGACATCATCAAGGAGGTCAAGTTTTTGGTACAACTGCGACACCCAAATACTATCGAGTACAAAGGCTGCTACCTGAAAGACAACACTGCCTGGGTCAGTGGATCCTTCACTAACTCTTCTTCTTTCACAGTTCCTGTTTCACACTTAGATCTAGCACATTGTTTCCCAAAGACTGGTTCACAACCATCAGGTGGGACGCAACGTTTTTTTTGGGTCATCTCACATCATGTCTCCCAAGAGTCTATGAATAATGTCTATTGACTTGGTCCGCAAAGGGTTGACTTTTAAAATATGGGTCCCCAGAAAAAAAAAGTTTGGGAAAGACTGGTCTAGCTGACTGTGTTTGTATGTGTGTCTATATGTATATGTGTAAGTATATATTTAGAAATAAAAAATATGTATACGTATGTGTGTACATACACATGCATACATGTGTATGAAAATGTATGTGTATTTATATATATATATATTTTATTTTTTTAGATTTATGTATATATAAATACATATTTATATATCTATAAATACATACATATATACACAAATGTACATATACTTTTAAACAGGGCTCTCATTGGCTTTAAATACTTAATGGAGGATTTATTTTCTCAAGCTGTCCTACCTTTTCTAATTTCTGATAGAAATTATGCCCCTTGATTTGGGATGGTGGGGGTCAAATAGGGTCAAATTTAGTTCTTTAACTTATTGTTTCCCAAAGACTGGGTCACGAGCCACAGGTGGGACGCAAGAGATTTTTTTGGTGGTCATCTTGCATCATGTTTTGAAGGAGTTTACGAATAATTTTTATTGACTTGGGTCGTGAAGTTTTGTGACTTTTAATATATGGGCTTCAACTTGTCAGTTCACATTACATACTTTTCTCGTACATATTGCTATGATCTCAATGTGCTGTTTGTACATTATGCTCTGCTTATATTTTTATTACAGCTAGTGATGGAGTACTGTCTTGGTTCCGCGTCAGATTTACTAGAGGGTAAGTGTCTTTGTCTCGCTGTTAAATGTGGACACATATACTTTTGAACATGTATAATTATCAAACAGCTTTTCATTGTACGATCTTATTCCCAGAAGACATAAGCAAAGACGACCACATGTTAAAACAAAACTTTTTTTTCTTATTTTATATCCAATAGTCGGACACTATGCCGGCGGGATTAAAGCTCAGGTTTGGGTTTTTTGTTTCATAGTAATTTATGGGATCCCACAGGGTTTTGTCCTTGTAATCTGACAGTTTACCACATTCGTCGGAATGGTTGTTTCAGTAGTCTCATGAAAGCTAAAGAAAATAACCAAACTCCTACACAGGCAGAAACTGTCATTAACTAGAAGCGTAGGTTTTTTTTTTTTCGTAGATAGTGCAGTATTTCTCTTCCTAAACTGGTCGTGACATTTGATGATTTTTTAGGGGGGGGGGGGTTTCACTCCACCTCCCAACTAGAAGAACTGCCTACTCTCTTGATGTGGGCACATTGGCTTCAGTATTACTGTATAGTAATACTGTTTAAACGATCAAATACTATTTGAGGTAGATAAAGGATCATTTACCATCATGTAAGTCGTCTTATAGGAAATTACACAGATAAACAGTTCTCCTGTGACAGACCACAGTCAGCAGGANNNGTATAGAGCTGCTGTACGCAGTTGTTAAAATCTGACTCATCATTCTACATTGTACCCGAGTTACTTGTTCTTGCTTCTCCATCACGACAAATGGCAGTTGTTGTGATGTTGCCTAGCAGTCGGCCACAAGTCAACACTCGGCTGTTTGCAAAAGTATTTTTTTTAAGTCATCGGAGTACTGTACATGTTCCAATTTCTACCGTTTTAGTTCACAAGAAACCACTCAGAGAAGTTGAAATTGCTGCCATTACCCATGGTGCCTTGCTAGGACTTGCTTACCTGCATTCCCAAAATATGATTCACAGGTGAGTTGGATTTAGTGTTCTCATATATTTTCAAGGATGTATGGTGTTCTTAATTGTCATGCTACACATGCTTTTCACATGAGATGACAATATGACGTTCTTGGGCGTTAAAATAAATGAAGTAGACTCGAGGAGTAGGTACCAGATAAGAAACTACTGCAGTTTTTTCGAATGAATTTCCTGTTTCCTTTTCCCATGTCTGATTGTCCACACAGAGACGTGAAAGCTGGTAACATCCTGCTGACTGAGCTTGGTCAAGTTAAATTGGCTGACTTTGGCTCCGCCTCCATCGCCTCACCTGCCAACTCCTTTGTGGGAACACCTTACTGGTTAGTTTGAACTGAAGTTAAGTTCTGAGAATGAAGTGCAAAGTGTGAAGTGTCGTTAACACCTGAGCTGCAACTACAGCTTACTTGCAACGTTTGAATAATTTATTATGGTGTTGCCACAGTCCATATAAGACAGTCCTGTACTTTGTTTGATAAAATGTAACGTTTTATAACCCTACATTGTTGACGACATCTCCTAGAGCAGTGTTTCCCAACAGTTTTTGTGCTGTACATATTCTTTATTAAAAAAACTCCACGACACACCACCAAATATAACTCTGACCAAAAAATATATGTAATAAAATATAAACCTTCTAGGTTAAATATAATCATAATTCACTAAAATCTCGGCCTGTTGAGTTGAAGACAATGCTGATATACTCGCAGGAATTGAAGAAAGTGACTCACAAAGATCTTCTTCAACAGCTCTGATTTCTTTTTCATCTGTTTTCACAGCCATTTGCTGCCACGTAGCGACAAGTATTTAATTGTTCTGCCTGCCACGCATTGACAAAACAAAGAAAAGTTATTTGCAAGATATAAATAATTTTTTTTTCAGACCAATTAAGTGACATTGGGTTATGTTGCGCGGCACACCTATTTGTAGATAATTTTGTAGATTCACCGCATACTTGCTAAATTTCCCGCCTGTGTGTTGTGGTTTTCTCCTCAGGATGGCCCCAGAAGTGATCCTAGCCATGGACGAGGGTCAATACGAGGGAAAGGTGGACATCTGGTCCCTGGGCATCACCTGTATTGAACTTGGTGAGCGTTGATCTTCTTGTTGTTTAAAGCATACCTAAAGCAGTAAAAGTTAAAGTTAAAGCAATAGATAAAGGAAAGACGGTGAAGAACCATCCGTGCGCTGCCCTCTTTGTCAACCTGTGTCTCTGCCTTCTTGCCTTATTCCAGCGGAGCGTAAACCACCCTTGTTTAACATGAACGCCATGAGTGCCTTATATCACATCGCCCAGAACGATTCTCCCACACTGCAGTCAAATGAGTGGTGAGTTGAACCCACAAATATTACTCCTATGGTATGTCTGAAGATTTTGACGGAGTACTGATCGGGATCAGTCAGTGCAGAACAGGGGGTGTCGCGTACACCCTGATTAGATGTCAAGTGGGCCGGACCAGTACACTCATAACATAATTGCTTATAAATAACAATAAGTCCATGTATTCCCCCCTTAGTTTCCATGCGAAGAAGTGGAAATATATAAGAAAATATTAATTTAATGAAATATGATTTTACAAAACATCATGAACCTGGTATGTAAATGCATTTTTATTATTATTTTTTTTTACGTTTACAATTCATCAAGCGGCTTGAACCAACTAGCGGGTTGGTTTTGGCCCGCCCGCCCGCCTATGTTTGACACCACCTCCTTCAGACACTTGGGACATGGTGTTTTCAAATCACACTGTTATTTATTAATGGAATTCACTGAAAACACTTCACCACAGGCATGCTGCGTAAATACCAACAGCTTTTCCGCAACACAAACAAGTTTGTGTTTTTTCATTATTATTTTATGTCTTAGCGACATAACAACAACAACGTGTGACTGTTGTAATAGTCTGACAGTTAATCTCAGTCTATTTTTTTTTTTTTTTTTTTTTAATAACTCGGATGTTTCTGTGTTTTGCAGATTCTTTTTTTGTTGTGGGTTATTTATCATTATTTGTCATTTATGAGGCGGCTTGCAGACTCTGACTGAATGACTGGATGCTAATATGTTCTCTGGAGACTCACTTTTCAGACATTTAAAAATAAACCTAAAGCAATTTAATCTAGGCCAGTAGGTTTTGAACAGCTCTCCATCTCCGTTCCCTTTTTTGACTTGTTTTTTTTTTTTTTTGACACCATCTCTGTTTTTTGTTGTTGTTGTTTTTTAGTTGTTGTTTTTTTTTGTTCGTCCTATGATAATCTAGTGGGCCGTGTCAAACTCAACACCCAAGGATTACTTGATGTTATTATTTTGAATAACATTAACTATCTTTATTTTATTGAAATAAAAGTAATCTCGTAATCTGTTCATAATCAAGATTTGTGGTTTTAAATTTCGGCCACTTGAGTTTGACACTATTGCCTTATATCGGATACTTCTCAAATACTGGGGCGGGCCCCTATAGGGTAGCGTGGTGAGGTTTCAGAGGTGGCGTGAGAGGCTTCCAATGGAATATGGCACGCTGTACATAAGTATACCACCGTTGTAATGCTTGAATGATAACAAGCCTCCAGTCACTAGGTGGCAGCAACTCATACAGGGGTTTATACAGATACAAATATAGATGTTATCAGGTTCTCAACAGTATTCCAATTCGCAGGGGTGTGGGTCGGAAGGGGTGGGGGCGTGAAAACATTTCTGTCCCCAAGGGGGAGCATGACAGGAAGTAATTGAGAACTACTGCCTTACTTATTAACCCTTGACCTTCTGTTAACCGTAAACGCCGTTGATTTCATACAGAGTTGACCCCAGTTTATTCACACATTTAAAGATATTTGGCCCAATTTCCGGGCCTGATCTACTTGATCACTTTTATGATTTTGAGTGCTTTCAACAGATTATCTGCCAAGATAATCCTGTGGTCTGTCACTGAGTGAAACCCAGTCTCTATCACTGGCTATATCATTGTTTCCCAAAGGCTGGATCATGACCCTCAGGTGGGTCGCAAGAGATGTTTTTGGGGGTCGTCTCGCATCCCGGGAGTTTACAAATAATGTCTGTTGACTTGGATCCGGACTATAGAGCGCACCTAAATATAAGCTGCACCCACAATTTAAAAAAACTGTAAATTTACATATATGTTGCACCGCACTATAAGTTGCCGATATCTAAACTAGCGTGTTTTTCTTTGCACTGACTTCCCGTCTGTCTCGTTTTTGCACTTCCTGCTAGAACGCCCCCTAGCGGCTGAAGAAAAATCCATAGAAAAGCCGCATCTTTGTATAAGCCGCATGGTTCAAAGCGTAGGAAAAAAGTAGCGGTTTATAGTCCGGAAAATACTGTAGTAGTTAATAGTAAGAGGATTGGACTCAATAGGATGCCACAGTGAATTGGAAAATTCGTTTTCTTTTGGATGTCCTCGAGACCTGTGGTTCCCAAACAAGAGGGCGTGCTCCTGCAAGTCAATTTTATGAATTTGTTGATCGGGAGACAATAATCTCATCTTCAAACGTGGGGTGGAATGCAGAAAAAGGTTTCGGCACCCGCTGTGTTAGAAACAACTCACACTTTTCGTATCAGTTGTGGAAAAACGGCAGGCGCGAACGACTCTCCTCACCTCCTCCTTACTACTCGTCCTTCGGCTCTGCAATTATTTTCACATGGCTCTGGTTACGATCTCAGATGTTGATGAGATCACAGCCTCACAGAAACGCTGCATTTCTCTGCTTTCTGATGTATCGCAGTAGCAGTTGAGCGTTGCTCTTTCTCTGCATCAGCTCAGCCTGGAGGCAGCGGTGGCCTCGCTGTGTCTTCCTCCCAAGCAACTCAATTAAAACGAGGCTTTATTTTTGCACATTTCACAGTGGGCCTCTGACGAGAATTATGTCATCAGAGAAGGTGGGGGGAAAGTCTTTTTTTTTTTTTAAAGGAATGTTCTACCTACGCCTGTGCGGGAAGAAGGCCGTTTGTAAAATTAGAATTGTTCTGTAGTGCAGTTCTGAGGCGAGCAGCTGTGTGAGGTGGCCCAGGGTTGTGGTATTTTTGGAGGATCTCCAGCGGGCCTGAGGCTGAGAAACGTCCCGCCAGATGAGACAGTGAGCGGAGACATCAGGCCGGCGGTGTTTCCCCCCGTGTACATTTCTTAGTACAACAGATGAGATTAAAAGGCTAATATGGAGATCAGAAAGTGGGGAAAGAGGTGCCGGTTCTGTTGAACCCACAGATGACAGCCCACATCACCTGACCCATAAGAACCGTCACTTGTGTCCAGTTATGACATTTCATATTTTTAGCTCAGAGTCGGCAGCCCAGTGATCCACAGCTCCACTGGCCCACATTTTCACTGATCCACATATGTATGGGTTCTTTATATAGAACATAAACACAGAGTACTCGCGGCTGTTCTGGTACTGATGAACATGTCACACACACACAGCAAGCACATCAGGATAAACATAAAGAGATTACACTTTAACATTACTTCAGGGTGAGTAGCGGAGCTGAGGCCAAATCCCACAGCCTGTAATTAGTCAGTCACAGTCACTTATTCTCTATGTAGTTAACTGATGGGGATTTGAACTTGTTTGACTGAAAGAGAATGTGGAGAGTGTGTGACCTTGGTCTCTCGCTCCTCTCCTCAGGTCTGACCCCTTCCGGAGCTTTGTCGACTTCTGCCTACAGAAAATTCCTCAGGATAGACCCTCGTCAGGGGAGCTGCTAAGAGTGAGTGGGCTTTTCTTTTCTTTTTTTAAATCCTTTCAGCGTTGACCTCACTTCCTGCCATGGCGATGAGTCACTCACACACACTGATGGTTCCCAAATGGATGCTGCTAACTGTCGCACACATGTCAAGGTGGTTAATGCTGATTTGAAGAGTTTGACTGCGTGCAAGGAAAAATAACAAAATTGAATATATTCCCAACAGCAGCTTTAAACCCCACAGTTTTCGAGAACTTTTTTAAATTTAATAATCCAGCTAAGATTAAGGGTCTGGAATTAATCCAGGCGTGGGCAAAGTTGTTGACTCACAATTGTCTTAAAATTGAGCAGATAAATGGAGCGTTTGTGTGAACTAAGATAAATGACATGTAAAAGTCGTGCATAACAGCTAGAATTCTTTTTTGTCATTTTCTACGCCATCTATTGGGGAAACGTGGGTATTGCAGGGAAAAGGCAAAACTATAATGATGATATAAACAAATTGTATAATTTGGAAAAGTTTGGTGGGCCGATTTAAGGCCCCCGGGCCATAGTTTGCCCATCTCTGGATTACTCAGATTTTTTTTATATACGCTTTAAAATTTTTACTTTTCCGATTTCTGATGTTTATATTTAACAAACAAAACTAGGTTTTTACAGTGAAAACACACAAAAAATGTTTATATCCATTCACAACTTAAACCTCGCCTCCCCTCTGTGTGTGTGTGTGTGTGTGCATGCATGTGTGTGTGTTACTATAACGACATTATAGAGATGATCCTCTAGTTCCTGTCTGTGCACGTTTAGTTTCCTGTTTGCTCTGATCACACTTCCTCCGAGTATTCACACACACATCACAGTTTTGTAAAGTTGTAAAGGTGTGTTGAACTGATTTTGAGCCTCTTTGGATCAGTATAGAATCAGTGTTTATGGGACTGGGACAAACGCATACACATTTTATGCAAACACACCTTGATGCTTGATTGATCTTGGCACCTATGGATGTAACTGATCAGGCCAAGGTGGTGCTAAAGGTCCATGAATAAATAATAATAATAATAATAATAACAATAACTGTTTTCAGAGATTCTGTAAATTGACTCAGAAATTGCTTTTATTTGTTTTTGTTTTTCTGGTTTTCTTCCTGTGTGATAATAATTACACAGATACACATTGCTCATAATAAGATGCCACATTAACTTTTGTTAAAAATAAATGTTATTTCAGGATTTTTATACTTTTTCTCACACACCTCATTAATGTTCTCTAATTATAGTATTAATTAAATGTGTGTTTCAGTCAGGTTTAATATGTTTAGACCATAAAAAAAAAATATTTAATTTTTTTTTTCAAATGATGTTCTGGCAGATGTTGGTTTTAAGAAAGGTGGGAATAAAATTATTTGTAAAATAAATTACTTTGGGGGGAAAAAAAACCCTCTTTTTTAGATTTAGAAAGTGTGTATTACTGCTGGAATTCCTATTCCAAACAAGCGTCCTCAAGGCGCCCTCTAGTGATCGATACTGTCATGTAAAAACGTTAAAAACAACATGTTCTTAACAACAGTGTTTTTCCCACTTTTTGTAGTGAAGTCAGTTTAATTTACGTTTTAATATTTACAATATTTTTATTAAATATTGAAAGTAAATATATGGGTATAAGAACAAACATTTGAAATTTCTGTTTTATTTTTTGAGAAAAAAGATCATTACTGTTATTTGAAAAACTGATCTAAGAAGATCGACAGGTGGTTGAACGTACTCCTGTTTTATTCTTCAGCCTTCTGTCACTTTTACCCCCCCCCCCCCCCGTCTCCTGTCTTTCTCCCTGTCCAGCATGAGTTTGTGCGTCGGGATCGGTCGCCGCGCAGTCTCATCGACCTCATACAGAGGACCAAGGATGCGGTGCGCGAGCTGGACAATCTGCAATACCGCAAGATGAAGAAGATCCTCTACCAGGAGAAACACAATGGCCTGATGGGAGAGAGCCAGGAGGAAGAGGAGGTAGGGATGGTGGTAGTGGGCGGCAGTGTCAATGAAACAAAAATATATTATTATAAAATATATTTTTATATATTAATATAAAAATATAATATTTTGAATATTATTAAAATAAAAATAAAACAAAATCAAATGTCAAGTCAACTCGATTTATATCGCTCACAGTCACAAAATACGTCAATATTTATTTAGATTTATATATTTTATATTTATGAAATATATATATTTATATATTTTTTATTTATATATCAATTTTAAATTAGAAGTAGTTGAAATTAAAAAACACTAAAAGACATTTATTCTGTCAGTGATATATTGAGTTTATCTGAACTATACAAAGCAGAATAAACAAAGAAAGACGGGTACTATATATATATATATATATATATATATATATATATATATATGAAGTACGGCTGTACCAGCACTACAGTCGTAGGAAGTACTTCATCGTTAGTGATATATTGAAATTTAATGATTGACGTTCAGCTCCACTCAAATTCATTTTTTTTTTTTTTACTTTTACCAAATTAGGGCGCTCTCTGCGCTGATGATGGGTCAGATTTTATATTCTGTGTTATATCCTCATTATCTCCCTGTCAGGAAACAGCGACACGTAAAATACCATATACCAGATATAACAGACGCACCGCTGTTTATTTACTGAGAAGAAAAATAAAGATTAGGAAGGTACCTAAAAATAAACAGCAGGAGTCAGAGAGTGCACAAAATATTTTATGATTATGTGCTGTATTTAATAACGTTAATGATGTTATAAATTATTTACTTTTTGTGTATAAATATATAATACCCTGTACTTGTCAGTTAGTTATTTCTGCACCAACAATTAAAACTTTTTTTTTAAATTTTATTTTCTCAAGCGCTAATAAAATTAAATCATAATTTATATTTATTTGGGGGTCAGATGTGGACGGTCCATGGCCAGAACTGGCCCCCAAACCCGGAGTTTAAGACCCCTGATTTGGGGTGGTGTTTTCAAAACTCTGCTCCTTCAGTATCTGGAGACTGAGATGAATTGTCCCTCAGATAACCCGGTCAATTGACCCGGTCAGAGGCAGCACAGGGCAGCAGTGGATGGCCGGGCAAACACAGTAATGTCACCCTACACCTGATGACGCAGTTAAGAGCAGCATCACTGCAACTGGACACTGCTCTGGGGGCTTCACTAAAAAATTCACTAAAAAATATATATATATATGTATGTATATATATATATATATGTATGTATATATATATATATATATACATATATACATACATACATATATATATATATATATGTATGTATGTATATATGTATATATATATATATATACATATATGTATATATATATATATATGTATGTATATATGTATGTATATATGTATGTATATATGTATGTACATATGTATATATGTATGTACATATGTATATATGTATGTATATATGAATATATGTATGTATGTATATATGTGTGTATGTATGTATGAATACATATATACCGTATGTATGTATACATACGTATGTATACATCTATACATATACATACATACGTATACATACATATACATACATATACATACGTACATATGTACGTATGCATACATACATATGCATACATACATATGCATACATACATATACATATACGTATACATGCACATGTATACATTCGTATGGATGTATGTATACGTATGTATTTATACGTATGGATGTATGTATGTAAACGTATGTATTTATACGTATGTGTATGTATGTATGTATGCATATGTATGTATACGTATGTATGTATACATAAGTATGTATGTATACATAAGTATATATGTATGTATGTATACATATTTATGTATACATGTGTACGTACGTATGTATACGTACATATGCATACGTATGTATATATACGTACATATACATACACATGTATACATATGTATGTATTTATACGTATGTATGTATGTATGCGTATGTATGTTTTTATGCGTATGTATGTATACATATGTATGTATACATACGAAGTACAGTACATGGTACAATGACGTGTCGGGATCCTCTTTCAGGGGTGAACATATTTGCTTGCAAAATAAATATAAATATAAAACATACAATATAACGAGAACTACCTTTAAAAAATACAATACTGTTTTGGATGTGAATTTAACAGTGACATAACATAGAAGTATTGCTCTTAAACACACATAAATACAGTTTTAGCGGAGGTACTGTACACTGAAGTACAGTATGAGTATCTTTGTTTTTTGTTTTTTTGTTTGTTTGTTTTTTTGCTGGACTCTTATCTTTGAGAGCATGTCTTCATGTGTATGTGGATGTCCATGACCTGCAGGACAGTGAGGCCGCCAGCTCCAAGATGAACAGCCTGGGCAGCAACCACTCCATCCCCAGCACCTCAGTCAGCACAGGCAGCCAGAACAGCAGCGTGAACAGCATGCAGGAGGTGGACGACAGCTGCTCCGACATGACCATGATGCACCCTCAGGACTATGGCAGCACTCTGGAGTCCTCCCCACATACCAAGAAGGTAAACACTGGGGGGTGAGGATGTGGAGATGGGAAACAAGGTGGTAGCTGTTCAGATTGGTCTCCATCTTCCACTGTTACATTACTGCTGTGTTGCCAATTGGTTACTTTTAAACTAGTTCTACATACAGTAGAGGTGGCCTTAAAGCATTGTTTCCCAAGGACTGGGTCACGACCCTCACGTGGGTCGCAAGAGGGTTTGTTTTTTGTTTTTTTGGGTCATCTCGCATCAGGAGTTTACGTATATTGTCTATTGACTTGGCTCTTGAAGTTTTGTGACTTTTAAAATGTGGGTCCCCAGAAACAAAGTTTAGGTAACACTGCCTTAAAGTGTATATCAATGTAAATATACTGTATACGTAGTTTCATAGAAAAACATGAGAATCCAACAAGACCTTGTTGACAAGTTGCAGTATTGAGTAATACCACTAATTTTATATACTGTACTCTGGAATTGGTTCCCAAAGTGGGGGGGTGGGGTCGGGCTGGCCCTAGTGCAGTGGTTCTCAATGATTTTCTGTCAGCCCCCCCTTGGGGACAGAAATGTTTTACACCCCCCTCCTCGTGAATTTTAAATACTATTGATAACCTGATAATGTGTATATTTTTATCTGTACAAACCACTGTATGAGTTGCTGCCACCTAGTGACTGGAGGTTTGTTATCATTCAAGCATCACAGCAGTGGTATGTCCAGTGTGACATATTTCATTGGAAGCCCCGCACACCTCTCCTGGCACCCATCTCACCC